GAGCTGATCGTATCTCGAAAATTTCGTAAGTAGTGGCGTTCATAAGTAGAGGTACCACTGTAAATAAATATTTGCAGAGTCTGATTGGAAATATTTCTGCTACCCTGGATCTTGAGATATATAACTCCTTTCTTTGTAATGGGGCATGCTAGGGACTTGCTTTCGTACTAGGGGAGTCAGAAGGGCTATCGGGCTGAAGGCAAGATTAGAGTTATCCTTACCTGGTGAGAGATACCATTCACCACTGAAGCGAAAAAAGCTAATTCTTCAATTAGTATAATATTTAGAGTGTTCATACATCGTATATATATGCATGTGTGTTATTTTAAAAAACATCAGCACATTTTTGCATATTGAACATGAAATTTTCAATATAACTATTTTTTTATACATACCACAAAGAGTATGGGAAAGTTGAGTTTTGCCTGTTCGGAATTCTACAAAATCAGAAATTTAAAAAATGAAATATGCTAAATATAAAAAGGAAGTCAGATTATGCAAGGATACGTACATTAGCTAATTAATCCAAAGTTTCTTTATTGTTTTTGTTTCAAAGACTAACAAAAATAATTACCCACCAAGTGTAGTTCCCTGAGAGATGCGACCCACAGCATGACTCTCTTGCCAGATCTGATGGGACGAGCAGATATAATCAGGGAGAGGGAGTCCCTCAAATAACCCAGCCCCATGCCATGAAGAGTTTTAAAGGTCAAAACCAGCACCTTGAATTGGACCCAGAAGCAGACTGGCAACCAATGCAGCTCTCAGAGCAGAGGCATAATATGTGCTGTTCTAGAAGCACACATAACTCCTTTCCCAGTCAGGCATGCTCGAGATGCTCTGGAATGACTACCACCAGAATTCGCAACCCAAATATCTTCAGGAAATTCTATCCAACAAATCTGAATGGTGCCACACTGAGAAAACTGATCTAGATTACAAATTAATATACTGTAATCTTATATCTTTTACTTACATATAAGGTATGTCCCACAATGCAAAAAACTAGGTATAGCTCCTTCCAGTACTGCACAAGTGCTAAAAAAGGCTATGACTTTCAAACATAGTCACACAAATCAAAATACAGTGCCCATTCAATATACTTACAATTCCCATAGCTTTAGTAACTATTTTCACTAACCTCCAAAGGCTTCTGTGATTGCCATGCTTTCAATCCCACCACCTAGGAGTTTACTGGAAGGAAGAAAGAAAACTTCATTAATAAATCATGAAATTGGAGCTGATAGAACTTGTATCTAGGGTGCTAGATTATCTAGGAACCTACTGTAATGTATTGCTTAACAGAAAAGTAAGAGTAAACATGTAACTTTAAAAATACCAGGATATATTAATAAAATCAATTGTTTACTTGATCTGCATAATATTGGAAAAGAAGGAGATATAAATAATGTGCAATGACTGATATTATTAACCAGAATATTCCATTTTGTTTTTGTTTCAAAATTTGATTTATAATTCAAAGCAACCATTTAATTAGATGGGATTATGCATGCCTTTTTATTAAACTAGTACCCTACTACAATCAGGTGACTCTCAGTTGTTTACAGAGTATACAATATATTAATTTAATTAATTAATTTTAAAATAGTTCGTTCTTTAATAGGCAGAATAGGCATCTTTTGGCCCATTCAGACGTTTTTCATTTTACCTAACAGACAGTATAATCTCTGGGACTAAGGTTACATGTAAGGGGTACTGTTAAATGCTTCATCATGGTAAACTGGTGAGGCAATTAATTAAAATCAAAACAATAACAAAAATTTAAACATGGAGAGAATGAAATAGAAAATAGGGGTATGGGGGTTGTCAGTTTACTAACTCAAATTCTTGGCTTCCAGTGGTAATATGGAATACCATCTTTCGCTTCTCACTATACTCAAAAGCAGTCAGAAACCCTGGTTCCTAGGGAAAAAAATGAAACCATTTAATGTGTCTTGGTGTCACTGTCATTTATGATTTGTAAATTCCTTTGTACACTGAAAAAATAATGCAAGTAGAAAGTAGCAAACAATTATATAATATTTGATCAAAACTCCTAACTATGTAGTAGTGAAAATACTAGTACAGTCCTAAATATGTTATCCAGTGTAATTTGCATAATATTTAGTGGGACATATTTCCAAGTTTGTATAGAATAGCTCTTGAATTAAAAGATCTCAACAAGATGGCTACTGCTCATTTTGTACAAGGCAATAAAAGAAATGTTATATAAAGAAATGTAAACATATTATGTTAACAGGACCATTTCAGATTGCTGAGCTGAACCAATGAATTTGCACTTACTCTAGATTTTCACCATTTGTTTATTATGACTAGGTATTGCAAAGCTTGATTCCATGCAGCAAACTATCAAAATTAATATGTGGTGAAATAAATTAGGGATATGTGTTAGATTTGGCAGAACTCATAACTGAACCATATTGGATTGATTTGTAAGGTGACTGAATCAAAGCAGGATCTGACGAAGACTGAATTCAAATTACAGAGCCCTTCCAAACAATTGGTTAGCGATTTGCAAAAACTGATTTTTTCACAAACTGTCCATTTTAAGAAAAACTGTTAAATGAGGAGAAGAGGGAAAGAGTGTTAGGAGAGTTCTGTCACCACCAGCTCTTGTTTCTAATAACTTTGAATAATTTTATCAGAACTCTCCAATCTTGAGAGCTAAACTAATATAGTGCAAGACATTGTCAAATCTTAGTGTTTTTTGCTAGTCTTTCTGAGGATCAGGAAAAGTGAAAAGAAAAGAAAGTAAAAGAAAAGAAAAGAAAGCCAGGAGAGTATAACAATAGTGCTTACATGGAAAATGTGGCACATCCAAGTTTAGTGAATCACATAAATAATACTTATTAGTGCTTGTTTGTTATTTTGTTTATTGTAATTTCTATAATTACAGATATATGTTGATTATTACTACTGTAATATTTATATTCATTGATTCTATAGTATAATGAAGGATGAGTGAAAAATGTTGGAGGCAGAAGAATGGGGAAAAGTCAGGTCAAAAACTTTCAAACAAAGAACAATGTAAAGAAATGGGATGAGCTGGAAAGTGATGGGAAAACTCCAGGCTGCCAAGAAGGCAATACTATAACAACAACCCTGAGATTGCTAAGAAAATGGCTAATTGTCAGTAGCTAAGAAATTTGTTAAAAGTTTCAGAAGACTTGTGATATAAAAAGCAGTTAGACAAGTTCCAAGAGACCAACATATGATATCAGCAATTTTCTTTCTAAAAGCAAAATGTAAAGGCACCAACCATATAAACTCCTACTTGTATTTGTGTGAACATTAGCATGTACCACCCTTGCATGGTATAATTATCAATAAAAGTTTCATCCAATTTTGCCAAACAGGAAATGAAAACTCATTATAGCCAATGTTCATTTATAATTATAGTCAATAGGTTATTTGCTTTTCAGAATGAGATTTGGATTTGGGCTTTAAGTCAAATGAGGGGCCACCAAATCAGTTCAAGGCAAAGTGGGCAGTTTTCCAAATAGCAATACACTAGGGCCTGAATAAAACTGGGATGTGTGCAAGTTGCTATAATAAATTTATGCAACTGCCTTGCATATTAAAAGATTCACTACATACAGAGATTTAAGATTAGTATTCTTGGAAGAAAGAAGTGCTTCACTTAGAATATATCAATAACTACACCAGTTTATAATTAAATTTAAAATAATTAAGACTGTTCTATACGTTCTCAGGCTGCTAGTAGGAAATAACTATAAGGAGAATCTTAATGTGAGGGACAGATTTTGCTTACTATAAGTTTGTTGGCTGCGTCTTTTATCTTGTCTACTTTGGCCTCTGAAAGTCCCTTCACGTTACATAATGCCCGCTTAGTTGTCATCTGAATCCCTTTGATTGTGCAAATTCCTACTGATTTCAGCTTCTTAATATCCGCCACATTCTGTGAAGGAAATAAATATGGTCTGAAGTAGTAATATTGATGAAACTTAACCATGTTTTTAATCAGAATGAGAAGAATTTTGGCAAATTCCTAATGTTGGTAATAATTTATTTTCAAATATAATGTTTATTTTTATTAATTAAGTAAAAATCAACAGAAAAAAAAAACAAAGAAGAAGGAAAGGAATAGAATACATACGTAGCAGTATAATCCCAAACTTATCTAAGTTGTAATTTATCTTTAAAATTTAATATTATTATTACTGTTGTATAAGCTTTACACCGAGTGAGGGTTGAAATGAACATTTAAAAGATGAGATCTGATATAGTGATTTTAAAAAAATGGTAAAAATGTGTCTCTAAGAAAAAACATTCAAGCAGTCCCTCTTTCTTTTGTTCTTTTTTTTCTTTTCTTTTCTTTCTGGTAAAGTTTGATTGATTTTGTATTTAACACAGCATAAATTATTGAAATATGACAATGTTAATCATAAATGCAGCATATTTTCCTCACTACAAGAGGTAAAATAAAATCAATTAGCAATGCAGATTATAGAAGAAAACCCAGCTCAAATATTGGAACTCCCCTTTTGTAGTTAGTTATAAGGGCAATTAATTTATTGCACAAGAAAACACTCAAGGAACCTAGCAAGGATCTCTAGGGAGGCTAATCTGTAGCCAGGATGTTATTATGAAGAACACCTTTTCTCAAGAGGCTACCCCTCTTAACTCACTTCACTTGTGATGGGGCACATGCTATTCTGATTTATGATGGATTATATTATTTTAAGTATATTTGGTAATTACTCTAGATGGATTTTTAAAGCCAGTTTTTAGAAATATGCATTGAATTCAAATTGTGGCTATATAAACCAGTATTACTTTATAGATGTGTGAGTAGCAAAGAGCACTACATATTCCATCATCCCTCTCAGTGGAAATTAAAGTAGTAGTCCAACACATCAAGAAAGCACTAACAGATTGCAGATGGCTGCTATAAATATTATACCACATTGGCTGCTGTGGCAATATTGGCATGTTAAGAGATATTGCTGAAATTAGTTCAAGTCACATTTTAAAAGGTACATTTTCCTTGCTTGAAATTCAGGATATGATAATCATGTCATAATACAGAGATAGTCCAACATAATAAGAGTTTTCCAACAGTGAGTTATAAGAATATTAAGAGGATGACTGACCCTGAGTTTCTCCTATGCCATCCCCCTCTGCAGGGAGGCAGGACCCATGTGATTGGTCCGCCCCCGGCGCCTGATGGACCCGTCAGGGTTTCAGAAGGAACTGGGGGATATTCCCGTGGACCTGCTGCACGGTCCAGTGGAGGCCCTTGCTGCTGCCTGGAATAGAGAAGCGGCCGGGGCCTTGGACAGGATCGCGCCTATGCGGCCTGTCTTGCCACGTCGGCCCCGACACACCCCGTGTTTTACGGAGGTGTTGAGGGTGCTGAAGAGGGTTAAGAGACGTCTAGAGCACCGCTGGAGGAAGACACGGACCGAATCCGACCGAACACATGTTAGAGCCGCTATTAAGGCCTACATCATGGCGATAAGGGCGGCGAAGCGCCAATACTTCTCCACCCTTATTGCGTCTGCAGAGTGCCGCCCTGCGGGCCTGTTTGGCATCACCAAGTCCCTCCTGTCAGGTTCGGTCAGCACGGGGCTTCAGGGAAGCTCGCAGCCAGACCACGCGGAATC